AATTCAAGTGAACTGAGAAAAGTGATTAAAAGTCACATATAATATATATTCTACAATAATTCATCGATTACTATAATTATACTTAAAAACAGGATTAAAACAATATCATAACCTAACATTTGTGCAGTGATAATTTATATTACTATTCTCACTTTTCTTCTTGATTTTTGATAATTTCTTGCTAGATGTAAAGAAAATCACCATGGATACCAACGTAAAAATTGTACAAGAATATTTCACGTCGTTAATGTTGCCACGAAGAATAAAGCATTTTGGGATTGCGTAACCTCTTCGAGCTGAAATATCATGGGAATAAACGCTCTTTAGAATAAACGAGAATTCCCACGGAAAAACGGAACAACGTTACTATTTTATCTTTCTTTGCCGATAAATGCGAAACAGGACGTACGATTAGCAAAGGGGATAATTTGACACTTGATATGTGATATATTACACTTCGTACCTTACTACACCTTATTCCAATTTAAATTATAATTATAATTAATGAAACTGAAAAATTTATAAAATTTCAATTGGATGATCAAATTTTATTAATGAATTAAAATTTTGTAATTTTCAATCAACAATTTAAAATGTTTCAATATTAAAAGAAAAATTTTATTAATTATTTATTAGGAACAAGAACTAGTAGAACACGTTTGACTATAATAATAATTTATAGATAAAAGTATGTATGTAAAATATCGATAAATTAAGGTTAACTAGTGATAATGATAAGTCATCATGCAGAGTCATTCATCTTTTTCTCTCAGAATTATAACGTTGATTATTTTGTAAAATTATTTTGTGAAATTGTTTTTTTTAAATTTTTAATATTATAACATGATTATTAATATTATTTCTGAAACACGTTTCAAGGATTGATTGTAAATATGAAAAAATATAATATTGAAACTTATTTATAAATTTTCGAGTAATATAATTTTGCATTAGATGAAGTGAGACAGATATAGAGCTGTGTCACTCCACCTGCGTCACATTACACAAACTAATACTAAACTTAAATTATTTACAACTTAATAAATAATCGATTTTTATGCCAACTTTTCTCTAGAATCGTCAAATCTCCAAAAATAAACACATTAACATCTAAATATTTTAACTTCAAACAATCTTAAAAAAATATTTTTTTTTTTTCATTTTCTCCACGAATTTACCTTCACTTCATATCTATCAAATAAAATGTTTTTGCATCGAGAGCATTTTCATATTTTAAATTTTTTATTTTATTTTAATTCGTCACAAGTTAATTAACATATGACATTTATATGTAAAAAGGTGTGGTTAAAAATGTATGTTTCTATTTCTATTTTTTTTTCATTTTAAATTAATAAATTAATAAATTAATTTTCAATCAACTTGTTGTACTTGAGTTTTCTCATTCTTAAAATCCATAATTCATCGATACGATTTCCAAGTATATAATAATATACAGTTACCACGAAGAGCAAAATGAAAATTTAATGCATCGATACACCTTTCTTGCAAACGAATTTCGTTTCAGATTATTATTCGTCAATATGAGGGCTCAGCCACATGATATTCTTATGCAAGCTTGCGTAAAACCATTCATGATGTAGATACCGCAACATGTAACGCCTTAAATGAGCGAATACGTATCCGCCATGCACGTGAACGTTCGTGCATGCCATTGTCGATGCTTGTCGACCAAGTTTTTTTTCTACGGTTTTCCTTTGGTTATTTATTCGCTCGTGTCACGCTTTCCTTATTTACATCGGTGATATTTCGAAAGTGACCTTTTTTTTTGTATAAATATACAAAATAAGTATATAATATATAAAAGAAGTGTTCGATTCGATTGTGTCGCAAAATTGAAAGGGTGATTCTTCGAGAAAAATAATAAATATTTAAAAGAATCGTGTATTTTTATATTTAAGATCTTAAGATTTTTGTTTCTAATTAAATTGGCGTGATAACTCGAGAAATTGATTTAAAAAGTTAAATTTAATTGAAATGAATAAACGATAATAATGGAAAAAATCAAGCATCTAATTTTGGAATTTTTGCAATTGGAATTATGATTTTGAAGAATATGATATATGTATATATTAATGGAAAAATTTTCAAATTTATTTTGAGTGACTATACCAAATTTCGAATTAGATATAATTATCTTAAAATAAACAGGAAATCAAAAATAAGAAAATTTCTTTTTGTTTCATATTTATATTAAAAATGGATTTATCAATTCGTTTTGCTCATCTTAATTTTTTCCAATATTTAAAACAATTATTTCTTTCAATAGAATCAATATTCAGTTTAATATGATTAAGTTTTTATTGAAAAACTTTAAATATCGATTATATTAAGGCAATTATTGCTTTTAATTAAAATCAATATATTTACCATTAAATTTAGGTTAAATTAAATTTTCATCGATATTTGAAGTTTAAGAAAATTGATTAAATTATATTTTTGTACACCTTAACATTTTTGCCAATTCAATTCGCGAGAATTATTTTAATAAAAATCGACATTCAATATAGAATTTAAATTATATTAAATTTCTGTTCGCTTTTTTTTTGTAATGATAATTTTCTTTAATATCCAGTATCAAATTTGATTCCTGGTATGGTCGGTGAAAGTTTGGTCAATACATTGTTACATATTTAATACTCTTTCCGCTCCTTCGTATTAATTACAAGCTGACACGTGTAATTCTAGTCTGTATTTTTTTATTATAAGATTTAATTGCGAAACATGAAATAAAATATAATAATAAAACATGAAATATTGTTTAAAAGATAATCTTATATATTTATTATTTAATATTTTTAATTTTTTTTCGCTTTTCTAAATTTTCAAATTTTCCAAGTTTTTGCAATTTAAACTAAACCAACTAGAAACAAATGGAAATTAAATTATATAATTTAACTGAATACAGTTGCTTAATAAAATTCTATATTAAAAGTTTGTTAATATCGTTTCAATTATCATTCTTGCGAAAATCAATGGCGTGCTCTCGTAATAGAAAGGTATCCCAACTGCTAATGAAACTAATGGAAAAAAATGATAGTTGTAGAACTACTCTGGGAAAGATCATGATTATCAAATTGTAAACAAGCTTTTATTTTGAATGTTTTTTAAAATTATAAAATGTTTGAAATCAATAAATTTAATATTGTTATGAGATAAATGAGTAATAAAGTGTGTAATATTAAATTCATGATGGAATGATTTACCGCATTAAAATGTTGGAAAAGAAGATCGCACTTTAAGGATTACCGACACTAATGGATAATGGAAAGAATTATTGCAAGTGATCTAGGGATTTTTGTCTTATTTTAACTTGAAAAATCACCATTTAAATTTTTAGACCAAATATCCTTTCTTCCTATATATATTTAGATATTGCATATTTGAACTTCGAATAAAAATATTCGATTTGAATATATTGAATGCAATATATAAATGTATGTAAATATATAAATTTGTATAATATGTAAATTTTTATTATCCATTTTAAAGATAATTTATTTATTTTTCACTGACAGGAATTTTAATAAAAAAAAAAACCATTATCAAATCATGAAATATTTTCTTGAAATGAAACAATTTTTAAATGAAATTCACGACAAATCGTAATGAATAATTATTACAAATTTCATAATTTATATTTTACGATATTATAGAAAATAAACTGATAAATTATTTTTATCAAACTACATAATCAAAATACAATAATATATCTCGTTAATTCATTATATAATTATCGTTATCGCCGAGCAAACCATAATTCGATTAATAAAATTAATATTATAAATTATATATATAATTATATTATAATATAATTACTTTGTAATTATTTTCACTTAATTTGTTATAATCAATTTTACATATAACGAGAAAAAAAAAAAGAAAAAAGGAGAATGAGAAAAGTTGCAATCAGTTCATTACGAAAAATTTCACGGCGTTCTTGGCGATTGAAAGGAAAAAAAAAACCGTTCGATGGTATCATAATTCCTAGTACACTTTCAATTTACAAAACATAATCGTTTATTTAATAGTGTCGCGCAAATCTTTTTTGATCGAGATTTCGAAAACTCGTCCTTAAAGTCGATAAACGGCTCCATTAGCACGCTCGGATAATCGTACGATCGAAAAATTGCATGTCGATCGTGATACGTTTGCACGCAAGCATTTAATTCTCATTGGATCGATACATGTTAGAAAATAGGAAGTGAGAATAGTTTTAAAAAATAAATAATTTTTTAAACATACGATACATGATTAAATTTAACCGTGAAATGAATCTTCCGATGTTATATAATTTAACAACACACGATAGGTTTAAATCATGTTTATCCTGTTTTGGGGACATAGAGAAAGTGGAACACGATTTGAAATTTTTTTTTTTTTTTCCCCATTTTTGTCACGAAGGATTACCTTATTTGAACAAATCGAGAATACCAAATATAGAATTAATTTAAGAGTACAAAAATTACTTAAAAGGAATTTAATTTCTCCGTGACTTTTTTTTTTTATCTATCCAACAGTAATTAATTAATATTACTTCATTTCCTGAACTTAAATTTTTAAATATTTTTCAAAAGTAAGTTTATTATTCTATTTCGAATTACATTAATTCTTTAATTTTGCACATATTTTCGAGTGATTATTTATAATTTTTCGTAGATCAATATATAGCGTATTAATTCATTGAAGAATCTAGAGATCAAAACAATTAAAAAAATTGTTATACAAAAATTTTTCGATTGAGACTTATTTATTAAATTATAGTAGTTTAAATAAGTGTTAGTTGAAGCGAGATAAAGATAACTCGAATTGTTTATAATTTAATAAATAAATATTAATCAATATTTTTGCATATCGATTTTTGTATTTGTTCTAAAATTCATTTGATCTTTGCAAAGATGAATATATTTATTTTTTTTCTTTATGTTGATACACTGTGTACAAGTACCATGTAAATGCAATTAATATATATAACCACTGATACAAATTACAAATTTGATCTACACAGTTAATAATACAAATCACAAATTTTTTATTATATTCTTTGTAATAATATATAATAGTAAATATTTTATACATTGCTTCAATACAAATAATCATTTCACTTTATTGTTATTGAATAGATAACTGCTTTCCTTCAATTGACTAATAGATACTTTCAATTTAGTATTACTATCCAAGTATTCCAAGGGAAAGAAATAAAAAAGGTAAACAAAATAAAAACTTGAAATGAACTCGTTATCTTCCACGTTGTATTATAAAGTTTATTTACGAATAGCATGACCTAAATTCCAATTCTCGTTGGACAAATTCTCATTTTCAACCTTTTTGAGAATAATATAGAATATAGAATAATATAGAATTAAATCCTATCTCATTTACCTCGTTCACTCTGTATATAGTCTATGTCTATTAAAAGGAAACAGTTTCTTGTCGACTAATCGTGATCAAAGCAACGAACGAGAGAGATTGTAACAGAGAAAGGCTTTTGTTGTTTTTCCCAGCATTAAGTATATTCGAGATACAGGATACACATGGTCAACCTCACGAAATGATTTGCATCTTGATTTATGACCCTGCATTGGCGTAGAAGTAGTCGTTTATCTTTACACTTTTGCGACTAGAATTATAAAAAATAAAAATATATTTTGCGAGTAATTATCGAAAAAATTAACGTGCATTAAATGATTTAGATATTATTCGATTTTTTCAATAATATTTATCGTTAAATTAGCCTATATAAAGTTAAGAAATATATAGAAATAAAATTGAATATTTCTCAATTCGTTTTTTAATATTTTCCTTTAAAAATAATTCCTTTTTATTATTGATAACATTTGAAGTTGAAACGTTATCATTTTCTCTTTCTAATAAATAATTTTCACTATCATCCGTAAAATATTCTCGAGAGTTTTATTCTGCGAATCCAAAGATTTCAAAAAATTCTTGCAATTCTTGCAAATTGATTCTCGAGAATTCTTTACTTTCGAGAAAAAAAAATCCTTTTCATTTCATTTTGATCAATTTATTCAATTCCAAAACATTAATTCTAGCTAATCACATAACGTTCAAAATTTGTGTGGCACCGCAACCGACCGTGCCCTGCATGTAATCAGGGAAATTCGACTCGAGCACTCTCATGCTCCCCCTCGTGTAATCGGCAACGACGTGAGTGACGAGGTTGCACTCTGCACTTGTGTACACCTTCTTGAAACATCTTGGATCGAAAGGATTGCTCGCGGCATCCCATCTGTAAACGTCCGCCTCCCCCTCGTACCGGAAGAAGAGGGCGCTTCCGTTGTCCGTGCCCAAGATGACCATCTTCCTCGGTTTCATGCCGAGATCGTGGATCTTTCCTCTCGTGGACCCGTTTCGAAGATGCTCTGTCCTTATCGAGAACATACGGCTGCTGCTCAAGTAGGTGAAGATTAGGCAAGTGCTGCCATCTGAACGTCGGAGAAGGGCCAGATAGAGGACGTCCCTTCTGGTGCAGCCCATGCTCACGGCTTGGGGTAGAACGACTCTGTAACCTCGACCGGAAGTCACGTCGTAGACGAGGATGGCTCTCGAGGCCGCGTCAGATACGTAAATGAATACTCTTCCGTCTTGGGTATAGTCGGATACCACGTATTGCAAACGGGACGTGGGGGACGTCAGACCAGTCAATTCCACGGTTTTTATAAGCTGTGAAAAAGAGAGAGAGAAGAAAAGGATTAATTAAGTTATTTCTACGTGAAGAATTCTAGGGAGTACTAAAGTTAAAGATAGTTCTGGGGAATATTTTGTATATAATTTTCAATGGCATAAAAGTTTTTCAATTTACATTATAATTATGATTGTGGAATATTCTAATTTAAAATGAAGAAGTGTTGATAGATTTTATTTTAATTAAATTTTTTTTATAAATGTAATGTTTGGTTTGGTGAAATAGGAAAATTGAGAAGCATTAAGAAATGATTCTAAAGAAATTTATAATATGATCAACAAATTTTTAAATACATTTATATTGCAATTAATTATGTTAATAATAAAATATTCCAATTTGGAAAAGAAAAGAAGTTATATTTTTAATGAAATTTTCCTTAAAATTAATTTCAATTAAAAATATAATTTAGATTTGAATTGTAAAATATTATCTCAATTTTATCATCTAAAAATGGAAATTTTGAAAATTTTCGATATAACGAAATATATTCTAGAGAGCACTAAAAAACGATTCTAGGGAACACTAAATTTCTAAAATTACATTTATATAAAAATCAAATAATTTTTAAGAAATTTGTATAAAAATTAATATTGCAATTATAATACTTGAAAAAGAGGAAAAAATTTTCAATCAATTTTAGACACTCGTAAATTGAAAATATTTAATGTCAGCCCTATGTTGTATTACATAATACTTAAGAATGTGAAACGTGATCGCACAGCTAATCAAGCAGTAATCTCAATTGAATACTTTGATTGAAACGTAAGCATAGAATCCATTAATTCCATTTAAAACATAGTATTGTTGAAAGGATACAACGTATGAAGATCGTGACAATATTTCGACCTCATTAATAATCTTTATTTCATGTATTAACCATTAATTTATTCTCATTTTTAAGAATCTAAAGCTATATTATTTCATCGATCTTAGTAATAATAATATTACATTAGAGAATTTTTATAACTACTAATACAGACAATAATTCAATTTCGTTTGATTGGCAAAGATAAAAATATCTCGTGCGTGTCAGGTGAAAGGATAAAAAGAACAATTCCTCGTAGAATTGTGAAACGGTAGCCATTATTTTACAATCACGCTCAACTTTTGATATATCACAATGCTTGCAATATGAGATATCTATTTTTAATTTTAATATTTATTAATAAAAAATTAAAACATGTCCAATAAATCAATGATATTTCACTTATTATTGTTATTATTTATATTCTTACTTTTTACTTTAAAAAATGTACTTTAGAAAATGATGTGTGATTCTGCAGGATTGAAATTAAAAAGGAAAAATTTCACATCAGTATGCCAATACAAATGACGATAAACTACGCTATAAACATCTATAAATCATGCTAAACTTGCCTCTATCACAATTCTTCTTAAAAAGATGGTATTTAATTCCACAAGGTTCAAATAGAAGATGTAAAAGAAAAATCAAACCATAATAGTATACTAAAATCAACAACAAACTGCTATGAAACACGCTAGTAACTGAACATGCCTCTAGAGTGCATTACATCAATATCAATCATGAATTTAAAATTAGTTTCATGAGATTGAATAAGAGTAAATAATAGTAAATAAAAGAGGATAATTTCATATCACGCTAAATGATGGCAAATAATGATAAATTATTTTATTTTTAATAATTGAACTTAAATTAAAATGTTATATAAAATCAATAAGATTAATTTCTCATGGATTGAAACAGAAAATGAAAGAGTAATTTCATTAACATACTAAATAATGATAAATTATCATAAAATAGATTACAGTTAATAATTAAAACACATCACTAATAAAGATGGCTTTTTTTCTCCTTTCTGCTATTATTTAAAAACCTATTTTGTGCATTTTTTAAAAGTGATTTTTTTTACTTTTGGTGATATTGATTTTACAAATGATAGTGATATCTTACCTTTTGTGTGTTAACATCGATAGCAAGAACCTTTGCTGGACATTTGCGTACAGGTTCATCCAAAGTGTCCACTACTCCAGTGTCGAGGATCCAAAGAATATTTTGAGGATCCAAATAAAGATCTACCACGTTTTGCAGAGCCGTGCAGGTTCCTTCTTCCTGAAGGGACCAGCAAGGATAAGGGATCAAAGTGGCTTCACAGTTTTGCGCCTCCTTAGAAAGTTTCGCCAATGTCGCTGGAATACCTGCCTTGAACCTACATTGAAAACCAGTTTGCTTGAAATCAATTAGATCTAATAAACATGTCAAGCCAAATGTTAATTGATACAACAAATATTAATTGATACAAAAATTAATAATCTGCAATTTTCTTTTATATACATATATTTTTAAATTTTTCATTATATATTCAATAATAATTTTTTATAGTTTTTGCTTCTCTTTGTTATTAATTCAAGATCAATGTTACATATAATAGTCAATAGTGATTTCATTTATACCAAGAGATACTCGATATAAAAATCTTTCGTACTTACAAAATTCTAACTTAACTTTTTGAAATCAAGTTTTTGAATTTATGTAAAATATATTAGCAATTGTTGTTATTTAAAAATTAATAAAATCTAAAGATAACAATATCAATTTCACTTTCAATTCGTTCGTTGATCAATTTTTCATTATAAAAAAAAATTTTTTAAATTTACGAAACGTATTGGCGATTTTAAATTTTTGATTTCAACAAAATATAAGATAAAATTAAAAAAAAAACTTAAATTGATAACTCGTTTTACCTTGGCAAAGCCACAATGGCTTCGTTATTATGCATCGCGACCCTAGTGGCGATCACATTCTTCGAGATGTATTTTCCGTTACTTTTGTACATATTCTTGGTGGTTGAGGACGGCCACTCAAAATTTCCGCCTGTCCATTTTATAGTTTCCGGCAACGTCGCGTTTCCGCAACTAATTAATTCTAGAACAACGGTCAAGATAGCCGTCAATGTAAACGCAGGCGCAAAGTGTCCTTTGATGTACATAGTTACTTATGGCGACTAAACTGAGAAACTTTTAATATTACGCCAGTTATATACGAGAGGTACGATGATCCACTAACAGTTGCGAAATACAGGAAATAACATTGTTGCTTTGCATATCTTCGACCCGGAAGAATGATGAAAAAAAAAAAATGCGAAAAATGTTTAAAAATTATCCTCAGAGTCATTATATTACGATCATTGACAATGGTGAATCGTTAATTAAATTGTTGGTAAAATGATAGTGTAATTTAATATATAATTTTCGGCAAGATATACTCGTCACGTAAATTTTACGCGATATAACAATGTTTTTTCCGATTTATTTATAAAATTATCGAACAAAGAAAGAAAGCTCATCTCACGATTCAAGTTTTCATTATTTCATATTTAACAAACAAACTTCGAGTGTGTACACTTCCTTGTTGCTCTTGGAGAAGCAACTCGTCGTCTCGCTCGAGCGGAAATATTGCGACATCCGGAAGAGCAAAAATGTTGCTTCATAATGCATACTATCGGTCATTGATGATACTCTTCTGACACGTTTTGTATATAAGCATACGGTCAAATATAAGATTCGAATATTGGAACGCCTGTGTCATTTGCATCATAATCATCGTGTAAGTCTTTAATTTTTCCTCGATAAAATTCTTTTTCTCCATTCATGATCTCCTCAACGATGAATAAAAATTTCCTCTTCTGTAATAATAGTAATTTCTAAATTTGATTAATTTTAAAATTTTTCTTCTTTTAGTAATTTACAATAAAGGAAAATTTTTTCAAGTATTCTTGATTCCCTTATTATATTAATCGTTTTAGAATATCAATAACAATTCAAAATCTATAACAAAAAATCACAATCATTTGCACGTAAAATTTTTTATAAAATATTCTTTGTTTTTATTAATTACACAATTATCATTACCGTTATTTACAATCAGGGAATCTATTTTCCAGAAGAAGCGGCAGGATGAAGAAGCTCTTATGCGTCATCCTCAGTCTAACCAGTCTAACGAAGATCTTCCAGTTGAGCGACGGAACGCCAGTGTTGCCACAACCACTGATCTTCTCTGGACTCAGTCTAGATTGGCCATGTCAGAGCACAAAAAACATTTACGAGACGAGTGGTCGTTACATAGCAAGGAACGTGATAGCCACGAGGGCCCAGATATTCGAAGATAAAGCGATCTTGGCTCTGCCGCGTTACAAACCCGGTGTGCCATTCACTTTGGGCATCCTCGACTTGAAATCGCAGAACAATTGCGAACCGAAGGTGGCGCCGTTCCCGTGCTGGGCCATCCAGGAAGAAGGCAATTGCCAGGCGTTACAAAGCGCTGTTGACATTGTTTTGGACGTGCAAGATATCTTGTGGATTCTCGACGTTGGAATCGTAAACACTCTCGAGCAACCTGTGCGCAGATGTCCGCCCAAGGTCGTTGGAGTCAACGCTAAAACAGGAAAGGTAAACTTCGATTAGTGTGGAATTGGCCTTAAAGTAGATTAATGCTTTCGAACTTGTTTTGTCGTTCACTCGATTTTGTCCTGATATTTTTAAAGTGTAAATGTATTAATATATGTTATATAAATGTTTTTTTTTATACTTCTTTTTTGTAATTAGATGTATAATATGCTATTTTAAAATATGATTAAGTAGTTGAAAGGAATTTTTTAAGTTGGTTTTTATTAATCAATTAAGTAAAGTTAAATAAATAGAATGTGGTAAAAGTAAATAGAATTAATGGTGAAATTTAAATATTGTAATGAACATTTTTTGTTGGAACTGTGACTTACCATTGAGCTCTAGAGTTTTCTTAATTTTTAAATCTTATATCTTTACAAATGGTCTCAATAATATTAATAATTCATAATTTTACTAACTCTCATCTAATCAAGCCACAAAAGCCACTATTGATGTTTCTGATGACATAAATATTCAAATATCAATACTTAAATATAGATCAAAATTGATTTATAAATCGGCCATATTTTATTTCAGATAAGATATTTCAATAAATTAATTTCAATAAATTAATTCTTTATTCCACATCGACATAACTTCAATAAATATCAAAAAACTTAATAAATAAATTAATTTTCCATTCCAATTTATAAAAATCCAATAAGATTCAAAACAGAGTCTTGATAAATAAATTAATTTTCCATTCAATTTATAAAAATGATCCAATAAGAGTCAAAAGAGAGATTTAATAAATGTATCAATTTTTAATTGCAGGTTGTAAAAGTGATCGATTTGAGCTCTTTGGCGGATATAAATTCTCGTCTCCAATACATGGCTGTCGATTACGCGGAGGACGGTCAGGTGTATGTGTACATATCTGACGCTGGTACAGGCGCCATCATTGTTTACAACGTGACCACCGACACTGGATATCGCGTGGTGCTTCCTGCAGCCGTGGCAGGATGCACGGACAAACCTGACGCTCTCTACATAGCGCTGGTCAGGAGGGAGAGCTGTGGCCCAGTCCTCTACTTCACCTTCCTCGGATCCAACAGAATGTTCGCGATCAAGGCGGTGAATCTGAGATCCGGAAACGCGAATGGATCCATAGTGGACATCGGCGGGAAGAAAAATAAGATCGTGCTTCTAGGCACCGACAATGCGGCCACTATTTTCTTCAGGATCAAAGGTGAGGAAATTTTAAAATTTATACGAAATGTATAATTGCGATTCAATCATATTTTCTGTACATTACCTTTGAGTAATCATAATTTTGTAATATGAATAAATTATTTAAATTAAAAAGAGAATATTTGGTCGATATACGATATGGTAATTTTGAATCACATGCTTTTGGTTTTAAATTTTATGTTAAAAAATTTACAAGATTTACAAATTTTGATAATTAAAAACGTGCAATTGTAAAATTTATATTTATTTTCATTTGAATGGAAACAATCTAATTATTTTTCTAATATTACTATAAAATAATAATCATATGTTTTTGGCAAAATTTATATCTATATTTCGATCAACCAGATAATTACACGTATCTAATTATTTCTATTCTAGTCATCTGTTTATAATATGTGTATAATATATAACATATCTACTGTGAAAACAAGCGAGGTATTATATTTTTATTCTTTTCAGGTGATTCGAGTATTTACATGTGGAATACCGACACATCTTTCGTGCAGGATAACTTTTTATTAGTCCAAAAAGCTGGTGATTGTCGTCTGCCAACAGAAGTTATTCCTGGCTATAGTGATTTGATGTGGGTGATCGAGAGCAATTTCCAAGATTATATAGATAACAGTGTCAGCTGTTCCGGGACATCGGTAGCTGTTCATCCACTAATGAACTCTAGCTAATAATATTAATGATATTAAAAAAAAAAAAAACGAAAGTAACGCCATTCCACGCTATATATTTTTAATTAATTGGTTATTAGTCTCTTAAGTATTGCAGGATATTAAAAATCAAAACGTTTTAATATTCTATGATTCAAAAGTTGTAAATAATAAACGTGCAATTGATTAAAATCTTAGACAATAAAAAATTATCGTGCAGACTATAGTTGACGCTTGAATGGTTAATCTAGTCATGAAAGGAACTCTTTTGCGAGCAGTTTGTATTTAATTGAATTGCTCTTTGAGAGAGGTCATAGCTGGACAAATATCAACCAGTGTCGAATGGAAAGCTCAAAAAAAAAAAAAAATCAGTTCAAAAACCATTTTTTCAATGGCCAATTAAAACGAGACGAACCCCCATTGTGGAAGAAACAATGACATTTATGCAAAAGAAATAAATATGTCTTTATTTTAAATACGAGTGTATTTTTCAATCAAATTTCTATATTTCTTCTTTGAAAGCGTTTATCTTAAATTATACCATAAATATTTCAAATACCGTTAAAATCGAAAAAAGAAAAAATATATATATTTGAATCATATCATGATAAATATAATTAAAAATTAAATATCATAAAGATGATATATAAGAATATTTGTTATAACATTTATATGCTAATTAATTAATTAATTAAAAATTAATCCATATATGACAAATTTTAAAATGCAATATAAAATTTGGTAAAAAAAACACTTCGTTAAAAAATAAAGATATTGCAAAAATAAAGGTATTTTGAAAGTAAATACTTTTATTAATTACTAAATAATAGTACTTTTTTTAAAAGACACCTTATATAAGTATTAAAAAGAATTTAATATTGCATAATAAAATGAAACTTAAAATTTAAAAAAAAAAAAAAAGAATCATTTTAATCATTTTATAGATAGTTTTCTTTAATTGAAATATTTTATATGATTACTATTTTCTAATAATTCAATCATCAGTTTAATTTAACAAGGAATTAATTTTATGAATGATTGACGCTAATCTTATAGCAGATGACAGACATATCGGTGCTTTCAGCGAGAATTTCAACACGATTAAATTATATCATAAGCAATAAATTATATCATGAGCAAAAAATGCATAATTACTTGACAATGCATAAATTATATTAATTATTAAATATAAATTCATAATATATATATATATTATTTTTTTTTTTTTTGCCTTGGAACAACTTTTTTTGTATCGATATATTGACTAGTTTAATTAATATGTTTTTTGTTTTCATTTACATTTTTATTATTAATTATATTTTATTATATAAAACATTATATCTTATTTATAGTTTAAATTCTGATTATTATGAATATTATAATTTTATTTTATGATATTTTATTTTATGATGAATCGATAATGCTAGATCCTAAAAAATTTGGAATACAAAAATATATTGTTTCATTATCATTTTAGTATCACTTTCAATATTATCAGCAAAGGATAAGATTATAATTATAGACGATAAAAAGAATAGGCGCGACATCTTGCAGTATTTTATATCATATGTTCTGTAATATCGACTTCAATAAAATTAGAATGTTTTTTTTGCCTTCTAAAATATTGTAAACTATACCAAATATAATATTTTTTTAAATTTCCCTTGCTAATTTCTTCTTCTTATAATGAAATAAAGTTTTAAAAAAATAGAATCGAATAATAAAAATTGAGAAAAGTATTTTTTTAAATTATAGAATAAATATGAAAATATTTTATTTTTATGTCTCTTAATTATATGAAAAGATAAATATAAGAATCATGTTTGCAGCCAATTAACTCATATTATTTGAATATATTATATAATTTATAAATATATCATAAATATTGGATATATATAATCATTAATAATAATCTATTTCATTCTTTTTATGTTATATTTTATGTATTTAATAAATTCTCTTTTTAGTGTATATTTGAAAAACATTTAAAGTATTAATAGTTGTACAGAATAACAACAAAAAAAAGAAGACAAAGAAATAAATGAAATAAACATTTCATAAAACATTATGCTAACATTAATTGTCTACTTATATATATTAAATTATTTTAAATACTTAATTAGTATCAATAATTATACTTGAAAATATACTATTTTTAATTGTCTACTTTATAGATTATTATTTTAAGACTATATTATTTCATCTATCAAATATTATTTATGTATTAATATTTAATTTAAATAACCTATTTAATCAAAAATTAACTAAAATTAATTTATATATATATTTACCTATTAAAAATCTAATTCTCATTATTTCTATTTATATAAATAATTATATTCTTGACTTGTTGCTTTAATTCTGAAATCTGCTTGTCGCGAAATGTCTTCTTGTGCATAAAATTTCATACATTCTTTGATGAAAATTCTATTATAATTAATATTCTAAGAATCGAATAATTCATATATGTACTTATGAAAATTAAAAATAATTAATTATTATATCACATTAACGATAATATTTAAACTCATAACTATTATGCAATAATTACAACGAAGTTGAATAATATCTGATTTCTTCATTATTTAATTAATATTATCTCAATCATTTATTACTAATTAAAATATATATATCTAATTCATAAACAAATATTCACAAAATATATGACTCTGAAAATATTAAATATATTTTTTAATTTTAAATATCAATTTTATTCAATTTATTTTATTGTCAATATTATATTACATGTATTATTATTAAAACATTCAAAAACGCGATGCACAAGAAAACCTAGCCTATAATAAATAAAACACATAAAAAATGTTACTATTCACGGGTATATTAAATACCAGTGGTCATTGTGCTCTTGCAAAATTCTACGTATACCAGTCATTCGTATCAATTCGGATTTTTCATCCTACGACGTGATTGAGCGACCGGAAAAACATAAATGCATGCGACTCACCGTTTGAAGCGAAGAACGTTTACTAGGAAGTAATCAAGAAGACCATTGTCATAGTAGTTGTGGACATGGTGAAGCATCTGTAACAAAAATGGAACAACATAATTAAAAACACGTTTAGTTATTTGAAAAAATTGTAATAAGAAAGGATAAGAGTGATAATAATATTAAAAATTGAGATTTTAATACAAAGATTTGAAATTTTAAAATCTAATGATTCTGTACGAATGGAAGAAGAAGAATTTGAATAGAATAAAATATAATTATCTGTTCGAGTGATGGATGATCGTCTTGTCCTTTTGAGAGAAGCACTGGTTCTAATTTCGCGTTTAAAGATTTAAGAAAACTTTTACGAAGCAAACTGATTCTATTAACCATATTGCACGCGATTACAAATATTCTTGTCTTCTAATTTCAAGGCTAATATCTAGATGAAATGAAGTTTACCAATACCTTTAATAAAAAGAAAAAAAAACATTAAATGTAATTTTTTTCTTAAAAAATACATAAATAAAATAAAAGAAAATAAAATTAAAGAATTGAAAGAAAATATAAAAGAATAATAACCTCTTCACGTGATTGATGATCACATTCTCTTGATATATTGATTCTATTTTGTGTCGAAAACAAATATTTAAAAAAGAAAAAATAAATAAATAAGAGATTATTAATCTGTTCGTTTATGCTACAATCGACGAACAAATATTGATTCTAATTTCGCGATTATAGAAGGATTGTAAAGAAACTTTTACGAAATAAATACTAATTCTATTAATTGCATTGCACGCGATCACAAAAATTTTCTCAAAACAAAATTCTCTGAAAATAAAGTTGCATTAATAGGATAAAGTAAAAGAAAAATAATATACGTACAAAATATCAAATTTTACTGCGTCATTACGTGACATGATGGCGTCCATATTGGAACTTTTCCCGCTCGAAGTTAATCCAAAAATTAACATTCTGTATAAAACAAAATTAAAACTATCAAAGCACATAAAATGTATATAATATATAAAATTAACTAATATATTAAAATAAAATATCGATCAAGCATAAATTTTATTTTAAAAAGTCAAAACATGAATAACTCTAACCTGTTATACTAAAATATAGATAAATGAAAGAAAAAGAATAATTTAGTCACCAAAGGAATTTCTAATTATGATAAGAAACATGTATTAATAACACACACTAATATATGAATAATAAAGAACAATTATGAAAATAAATACTACGCAACACAAAATAAATCACACTTTGCAGAAATATGACACGTCTAAGCACTACAATTATCGATACGATACTGATATGTCGCAATTCAATATTGAAATATAAGGGGACACATTCAATAATTCGGCAATAAATCGCAATTCGTTGAGCACATTATAAATGAATCCCAATTTCTTGAAAAAACATTACAATAAAAAATATAAAATATAAAATATAAATTTATAGTTTTAAGTATAGCAGAAAGTAAAAAAAAAAAAGACAAAAGAAAAAAATATATATATATACATATATATATAAATACAATTAAATATACTTGGAAAATAAATATATATTATTGAAATAATTTGACGAAATAAAATTTATTACGATGAACTATTGTACATTTATTTTTCAATACGAAGAAAAAGAAATCTATTCCAAATATGTTTATATTTTTACAAAAAAAATAAAATGTTATTAATATATCGGAAAATTATTGGTTATAAATCATTATGACATGTATATGCTATACAGCATTATTTCTTCGATATCCATTATAATCGAATTATAATCTGCACAAATAAAAATCAAAACAAAATTTATATAATTAAATTTATATAATATAATATTAAAATTACATTAAAATAAAACAATAATGATTTGAAATCTTACTGCAAAATTTATAATGCAATATATAATATATATATGAATAATACCGATAACCTCAATAATGAAATAGTCGATTGAAAGAAAAAAACAAAAAGAATACGAAAGATTAATTAATTTTGTTGTCACAATGTTTAATATAATCTAATAAAGTTTATATAATTCCATAATAAAGTAACAATAAATAGAATTAAATACTTATTGCGCAATTGAAATCACTGGCACCAACAATACATCTCGATGATTTTCGGCAGACATATGACGCCATGCATTATAGATTTTCTTATTGGCTGAAACATTTCAAGCTTTCTGATTGGCTAAAACGATGAGAATCTATTTACTTAAATTAAAATATATAATTTAATATTAATTATAGTTTCTTATATATTGAAATCCTATGAAGGATTTCCATTTATGAAAAATATAATAAGAATTAAATATGAAAATTTGACATGAAAATTAATCAAATTGATCAGAATTAAAAATACAATAAAAAAATTTAAGATAAAAATTAAATAAATATTTAAAAAATCATTAAATTAGAAAATTAAATTAGAACACAGGAAGATGAATTAAAGCATAGTTCTTAGTTTAACATCTTTTTCAAAAAAAATTACTAATGAAAATTATTGAATCTTTTTAATAAAATATTTTTCATATATTTTTTTTAAAAGAAAATTTTGAAAAGAAAAATTTTGAAAAAATGATGCCAATTATCAAGTCTCACCACGAGAATGTGACTACGCATCGAAATCCACCTAAAGCTAAATAAGGAAAACAAAATATTAAAATTAATAACATATATATAATGACATATATATAAATTAAAAAAAATCGATCGCTTGTCCCAACGACACAAGAAGGAGCATAGAATCGTAAACTCTAGTCCACCGGAGCCGGATTACAAAGACAAATTCGACCGTAAGATCTAACTCTGATCGAGCACTCGAAGGTGCCAATCGATCAGAGCGCGGACTCTCGACTCATCACCGGAAATAGAGCATCTGTCCAACGATTTTTACCAATGATTGCGTGACGCGTGGTTGATAGCGTTTCGCGAAAAAAACGAACGATGAAGGGAGCCAATGGGAATAAATTGAGGAAGAAACGAAGAAACGATTTGGATAAAAAAATATGGAAATTTTTTGAAATTAAAAGAATCTTTTTATTTTTCGCTTTAAGTTAAGAATATTCTTTACACTGTTTAACGATACCTGCAGTCCAGTCTATAATTGAATAATTGAGCAAAATATTGAATTAAATAAATGTAACATTTAAGACTGGAGTGCAGGTGTGCGTAGTTCTTAGCTTGCCATCATTTTTCGATATATTTAATACTTGTGAATTAATAATATTTCGAAATATTTTTGATAAATTTAGAAAATTTCTTTTTGAAAAATGAATTTCGAAAAACTATCCCAATTACCGACGAAGAAATGACTACGCGTCGAAACCCATCTAAAGCTAAATAAAAAAAAAGAAAGCATTGAAATTAATGATTAATTTAAACAAATTATAAATATAAAACAGAGAATATGAAATAACAAATTAAACAACATAAGATATTGAAAGAAAAAATATCATATAAAAATTAAACAAATCTGAAAAAATTTGAAATGAAATAATTATCTAGATTAATATATACAATTATATTTACAATTATATTTACAATGATTTTTACAATAATCTTTTACATTCGTCGCAATTTATCACTCGCAATTAATCTCATATATATATATATATATATAAATTTAATTTAATTAATTAAAAAATCAAGGATATTATCTTATTTAAAAAAAAAAAAGAAGAAAGGAGTTATTAAAATTTTATCAAAGAATTGATATTCTGTCAGAAAAATAAAATAAAAAATGGAATTGACGAGAATATCCTTGTACAGATTTTACATGCAGTCCAGTTTGATAATTGAGAAAAATAATTAAATAAATAATACAAGGTTTAGATTGAAGTGCATGTGTAGTTCTTAGCTTGCCATCGGTTTCTATAATTTCATCATAATAAATGACGAAATGTTTTTAAGTTTAAAATATTTCGAAAATTTTTTAATGAAATATTTTTTTTTTTTACGTGAACAAAATTTTGAAAAAAAAAATTTTGGAAACCGATGCCAATTACCAGGTCTCACCAACGAGGAGGTGACTACATCGAGACCCGTATTAAAGTATAAATTAAAAAATAAATCAAGAAATAAATGTAGAAATGAATATATAAAAGAATAAATGAATAAATAAAGAAGTGAAAATATAAATTAAAAAATTAAGAAATAAACATAAAAATAAATAACTAAAAGAGTAAGTGATAAATAAATAAGTTAAAATATAAATTAAGAAATATGTTATGAAATAAATGTTTAAATAAATGAATGTGTAAATAATTAAATAAATGAAGCAATGAATAAATTTTAATTAAAAAATAAAATATACAAATAATAGATATATAATATATAATAATAATGTTAAATAAATTTTATAACAATAAATGATTAGAAATATTTTTAATATTAAAAATTTATTAAAAATTAAAAATTAATTAAAAATTAAAAAAATAATTAATAAATAATTAATTAAAAATTTAATCAAAATATCGTCGATCCTCTCGACACGCAAATTCGTTAAGAAATGAACGCTCTACGCGTCCTTCCTCGTATATATAGGAGATCGCTATTACGAAGTTTGACGAATACGTACGTTCTTTGCCGATTGTACGAAATCTGATTTTTCGAATACAATGACGAATAATTTAGCAATTTTTTAACTTTTATTATTAATTTATAACGTCAATAATTTATTACGATAAGAAATTGACATATCTTTACTATTTATAATGTTTTATCACATTTTTTATAAATGTGATAATAATAAATGTAATAATTGATATTTTTACAAATTAAAATTAAATTTACATTTCTGTGATATTAATTTTTGAATTATAATTGCATTAAGACATTCTAAATGTTATTTTACGTGAAAAAGAATTATAGATTATTTATAATATATATAATATAGATATGCTATGGGCTGTTTTATAATTATAAATTAAAATGATTAAAAGAATAGTGATCAATCGAGAATAACAGTATTATATGAAATAAAAGTATGTGGATAAAAAAAAATAATTGATATTGGATAATAGTGAATAATTCTAATTTAATTTGCAATTTTTGTTAATAATTGTTATGGCAATTGAATTTAAATTAAAATTCAAAGAATCATCCAACATTTAATCCATTATCAAAAATCCTAATTAATTAATTGATCGATAAGATTCAACAAGATTTTGATAATTCAATTATTTTTAAATTTTTGTTATTAATTTATTTATACATTTAGTAATGTATTACAATAATATATTTAAAAATTAATATATTTATTACACATTACAAATAAAAATTAAATCTGATTTTACAATTTTATATTATTAATTTTTAATTTACAATTATAATATTTTAAATATTATTTATGAGAAAAATAATTATAATCACAAATTATAATAAAATAACCAACAATCGAAAATTATCATGATATGAAATAAAAGTTTTAATTTTTATTATATTAAAGAATTGAAAGAAATATATTATTTCAGTATATAATAACTTTTATATAGTTTTTAATTTTTATTCACTTTTATATAATTTTATGTTTTTTAATTTATTTTTAACTCTTTCCTATTTTAAATTTTACTAATGTATTTAATTTTTATGATGAATTTTTTATTTTTAAACTTTATTATTAATTATTCATTATTATTATTAATTGAATTATATTTCATATTTTCGCGCAATTAAAGTGAATAAGAAATTGCTTCAGCCAATCAGGAAACCGCTAAACTTCAGTATTTAGACGAATCAATGCATATGGCGTTAGTCTTTTGTCAAAAATAGTAGAGAAGAGGTATATTACATCGATATAAATATATAAATTTGTGAAAATATTAATATTGTGATTTAATTTGTAAATTAGTGCTTTTTTTAATTAATACGTGTATGTTAAATCATTTATCAAAGATTATTACATCAAAATTGAATTGATTTTTTCTCGTTACCAATAATCCCTAATATAAATGTTTAAAATCGGATTTGAATTTAGTTATTATTTTATTTTAATATTATTTAATATAAAATTTGTTTTATGATTTTAATTTCTAATATTTATACAGATTATCGTTTAATTAAATAATAAATAATTAATGGATTTCAAAGGTGTAATAGGTTATGCATCACGACTTTTATGCAAATATGGTAAGATTTGATTTATTTTAATAGAAGATAGTAATTATTACAACTTTTTTTTGCTTTTTAATCATAGAAAATAAAAATAATTAGATGAAATTATTATAATATTTATATATTCT